AACCTCCTGTGCATCTGGAATTGTGACAATGCTCCCAAATTTTTCATTTTAGGTTTGATGGACTGGAGATTTTAACAGTATCGACTGCTTTTTCTTGTGAGAGTGAAGCTGTGGCAGTGAATCTCGTTCCAATAATTGAGTTTGTGTTTAATTCTATAGCGTTTTTGTTGTTGTGATTTTGTTGTAACAACATTTCAGAATTCTTCTAACGCCTCATTTCAATTGGTTTTCAAAATTTTTGACAATTTTTTTAAATTTCATTCGCACAGTTATTTCTGGAATCATTTGAACTTTTACATGTTTTGCTCAAACATTCATTTTGTTCAAAAAAGTTGTCGCCATATTTGACCAAACATCGGACGCCTTTTTAAAATCGTTTCGTAACATACAATTCAAAAAGTCGAACGTCGTGCGAAAAGTCGTATTATCAATGTGTATTACAATCTGAGTTCACAAATCGTATTGGCCCCAACAACAACAACAGAAGACTAAGCGTTCGTCGACTGCGCATTACGGAAATTTTTGTCACTCCATCTGGCACTGGCGCCGAAAACCTATCGGATTTCGTTCGAGCTTCTATCCGGAAAAGAGGGAGTGTGGCCGTCATATAGCTATCTCTAGCCGCCATATGAATCGTGAATAGTCTGGTATGTTTTCTAGATTTTTTTAAATTCACAACAAGCCTCATAACTTTTTTCCACTGTGTTATCATGAATCTGCTTATCGAAAATTCGCTCAGATATCTTTGGGACTAAGTTTTGCCGGTCGTCCTTTTGTTTCAACATATTTGTTCACAGAATATGTATCGCAGTGCAATAGCATTTTCGGTTTTTGCTTTTTCGAGACAATCAAATCTGTTAAACACTTGTTGATGAGTTATTTTACAAAGTAACGCTAATGAGTGATACCATCAAGTCGGAAAAACCAAACCTGCTACCATTTTCTAAAAAAAAACTATTGCAGAACCCAAATAGTTAATAGCATATTCCAAATTCAACGAGAAAAAAGTTTCAAATGTCAAAGACTCAATCCTGATTCATGAACAAAAATGACACTGTAAAGGTTTATTTTTTGAGAAGACAAAACATTGGACAAAAAGTTTATGTCGCTAAGTATTCTTCGAAACTATTTATGCAAAACTTAAAACCTTACTTTTATAATTTATCAGCAAACTTGACATCTAGTTCAGCTACGTCATCTAGTTCAGCTACGCATTTCTTCGTTATGAAGTAAATGGAAACTGTAAACATTTTTTTGTATCACGCTGAAGTCAACTATAAGAAGTACAACATGTAAAATTAATTTATTATCTGATTAGAATAAGCGACGAGTATTTATTAGCTAGTTTTTCTTTCTTTATGTAGCAAACATTCAAAACATGGTATGACCCGACGTTGAGATTGTTATTGTAATAATCACAAAATCTGTTATTATTATTCAGTCCTCAAACACCTCAACTCCACAATAAAGTATTCGAAAAAGTCTAGCCACACAAAATTATGAATGGTAATTTTTGTCAGCATCGAAACGCTAGCAAAAACTAGATTAAAGTCAGGAATCTGCGTAGAGTATAATATCTCCCTAAATTTCTTAGTTTTTTGAAGAAAAATATCGTTCACTTAGTTTTTTGGCATAAGAAGGCAATTTCCTGTACTTTTGGCCATTTGATATGTTGCGTTTCCTTTTCCAGGAAACTTCAAATTGAACAACTCTAAAACAAAATGCTCATAAGTAATAAAACAGACCTGTTAACTATGCTTTAACATGATATTTTGTTATTATATTTTTATAAACAGTTTATACTCTAAAATGATACTTAGTTGTAGTGAGGAGACGTTCTATATGAAACAGTATTTCACCTTTGATAATATTTTTTTCTCTCGCGGCTGAAATCAATACGAGAATCTGCAACGCGCTTTCCTTTTGAAGTGCTGCCATTCTTTGGATTCTTGCCTTTCTTAGAAGTCTTGACTTTAGATTGCCGCTTCGGGGAAAGCATTCTTGTCTTTATTTTTTTCGTTAGTCCAGAGCATTTGTCCCACATTTCTGGCAATGGCTGTTATGTTGTCACCGTCTACGTTTCCAAGAGCTTGGCCCGCCGATGGTCCCTTTGTTATCAATAATTTAGGCTCCGCGTTATCACCCTTCATGATTTCGGGTGTTGGTAGATAAACATGCATCTTCGAAATTTCGTTGTTCTAAATAAAGTTAAAAAATACTGAGTCTGAGAACTTGAGCAAATCAATTTTAAATGTTAAATTTAGAGGTTATTTGAAATTTAATCACCCGACTTTGGATTCTTGCCTTTTTTTGGATTCTTGCCTTTCTTTGAAGTCTTGACTTTAGATTACCGCTTCGGGGAAAGCATTCTTGTCTTTATTTTTTCGTTAGTCCAGAGCATTTGTCCCACATTTCTGGCAATGGCTGTTATGTTGTCACCGTCTACGTTTGCAAGAGCTTGGCCAGCCGATGGTCCCTTTGTTATAAATAATTTAGGCTCCGCGTTATCACCCTTCTTGTTTTCGGGTGTTGGTAGATAAACATGCATCTTCGAAATTTCGTTTTTTTAAATAAAGTTTAAAAACACTGAGTCTGAGAACTTGAGCAAATCAATTTTAAATATTAATTTTAGAAGTTATTTGAAATTTAATCGCCAGATTTTTGATGGCTCGTCCTGAGTGAAAGGTTTCATTCACATTTTTTGCTGCGAGATTTTTCACAGCTACTTTGATATCAATGGCCACATAAGTGATTTTGGATCAATTGAGTAATCTCCCCCCTCCCCCGTAATGACCAATTGAATTATCTCCCCCCAGCCAAAAAAGAAAAAAAATGATAACAAACTAAACCAAAATTCAAGCATTAAACACTGAAATAACTTACATTGGCCAGTTCAGGCTGATAGAGAATAAAAATTTTTCATATGCAAGATAATGTTTTCAAATGCTCTCGAACCAAATCGGTCTCTCCACATAAATTCTTGCAAATAATAATGCTGGAAAACTCGTCTGCATCAAAACATGCTTTTAATAAGGGTCTTTTTTCGGTTTCAGTAGGATTCCACTGTTTGCGTGTGTCCCATCGGGTTCCACAAAATTCACCGAATGATTCACTGTTTTATGGGCGAATCCCATGTCTTGAATTCCTCGATAAGCTCGCAACTCGTCGGAATGTATGATTGATCCAGGACGAGCTACGCTCTGCATAATCGGTACGAGTGTTGCAGCGTTTCTTCGTTCCATATTTGTATAACCCCTATTGGCGGTTTATAGCTGGTATCCACAGTTCCAAAAACCCATATAGGTTGCGACCTCTGTGATGTTTTGGCTTGTGACTGAAGCAAGATTCGTCGATTTCTAGCACAATTGGGTTGGCGAGAAGTTGCCGCTGGCAAATTTCTCGAAGGGAGGCAAGCGCGTCGACAATTGCACTTTGTGAAAATCCCACTTGAGTAGCGGCATTTTTGTTTGACCCCCGCATTCCTCAAAGATAAGTAATTTGAATCCATATTGGGAGTTCAATGTTCGAGTTTTCAAAAAAAACTGTCTTTTCGAATTGATGTTGTCAATAAATCGACTACACGTCCGATTTTGGCATCTCCAGCTAAATCCATCCTTGGTTTTTGATATTTTGTCCAGTTTTGGGTAGTCTGGCAAGCTGTGCAGAGACTAGAATTTTTCAGAAGATTTTTTTGTTTAAGAAAATTTGTTGCTAATTCATTGTTTGAGAAAAGAGGCAGCAAACTTTGATGATCCATTCTCAAAAATAATATCAGTCTAGTTTCTTGTGCTTAGAACTATTTTCAAGTGGTTGTAAACATGTCTCAAGTACCCATTGAGCTTTCCGTCCCCACGCGGGAATGGGGGGATTGCTCAATTGATCCGTCATTTTGTCCACGCTCACCTGGAATGAAAAGACAACCGCAACATGCGAATTTTTTGATGTCTTTGAAACACCCGAATTTTTTTGATGCCTTTCTTTGGTGTCTTTGATGAATCTTCTTTATGTCTTTGATCAATCTTCAAGATTTCTGTACGTGAGAAATGGAATGAAGTTGTTGCTATAATGCAGGTAAGGAATGAACAATCGTACATTCAAATGCTGCGTTACACTGATTTCAATAAATTTGTTTTCGCCTCTTTTTGTCTTAACAAAGTTAGCTCTCACGAATGCCCTATTTTCCATATTACTTAGCAACCGTTTGCTGTACAATTATCGCAAAAAGTTCCGTTAGCTTTTTGCAAATTACTTAAACTAATTTTTAAAAAAATGTTCGTTTTATTGAGAGGAGAGGAGACAGATCGAGTCTTGGCGATTCGTTTTTTGTTGCTTGTGAAAAACGCCGAAAAAAATCCGTCAGACCCTTGGTGATTGGAACAATAATCTGCTACCATAATAAGTTCAAATCAACTGTACTAAAAATCGAATGCTGTAGAAAGTTTTCAACACATTTTGCCAGCAAACCCTCTAAAATTTCTCTAAAGAAGACAGCAGCAAATTGACACCTCTCTTTTATTTGTAGCGTTGTTTGAATTTTTTTCTTAATGCTTAACTGTACGATGTAAATACAGCGCCGGGCCAAGGAGTTACGATGCATTATGCAGTTTTAGGCATGTGTAGCTCTCTGACCCTATCTTATTACAAACCTCGCCTTTTTTTACCCCGAAAAATTTTTTTGGTACGCCTCTCTTGTACCAACTACAGGTTCCAATAAAGGCAGTCTTTTTCATTCAAATTTTTATACGGTTTTTTTTAGCATAAGCTACATCAATTGAAATTAGTTTTATTCACTTCTGCCTGTTTATTTTTTCAACAAAAAGATTTAAAAGTTGTTTACTCAACATTTGATGCTTTGAAATGAAATATTTTTTCTTTGAAACTTAAATTTTTTGACATTTTAACTATTGGTTAGTATGTTTTGATATTTTTTGATTTCATGGTTATATATACAAATTATAATGGAATTTTGGAATTTGGAATGACTTGGTTTTTGTTTCATTGAAATCTGAGCTTGCTGAGTATCAAGGCCAAATACGTTTGGAATAGCCTAATCAGTCAATCGTACATTGGCATCTAGTATTTTGAAATCAAAAATAACAGGTGAGGAGGGAAGAGAGGTTGGAAAAGAGACGAAATAAAATAATCCCTTGAATAGTTATCTGTTTTTTCAACGAATGGGTCGAGGCTATCAAAAACAACCTAAAAGAATTCAAAATTTCATTTTAATAGCTTGATTGATAAAATAAGTTTTTTTAAATAGATTGAAGACATGAAAAACAGCTTGATTTTTTTTCGAAGTCGCTGTTGCGAAAATAATAGGCTCAGGAAAGTTCCTAATGATTAAATGTTATAGTCTGGTGGATTATGTTTTTCACGATTTCAAGATGTAGTTTTTACGGTCCTACTTGATGCTAAAACATGCTAAACAAGAGCTATAGCTGAGTTGAGTTTTTATTTTTTTTAAAGAAATTGATAAATGGATGCTGCTGAGCTCAAAAATCTGTTTGGCGAATGTCTGGCGGACGTGAACGGCGGTGACCCATTTGTGAGGGGCAAACTAGATGCCACTTTCACGTGTGACGACAATGAGCCATGTGTTGCTGGAATAGACGAGGCGGGTCGTGGTCCTGTTCTGGGCCCAATGGTGTATGCAATTGCAGTGTGTCCACTAAGCAAGTATGAGCAACTGAAGCAAATGGAAGTGAAAGACTCAAAGGTTCTCTCGGAGGAGGAGCGAGAGACTCTGTTCCGTACCATCAACTCAAACCCAGACTTGGTCCACTGGCAAGTACATGTACTGCATGCTTCCCATATAAGTCGTAACATGCTGGGTCTCTACCCGAACAATTTGAACGCGCTGTCACATAATTCGGCACTGGGTCTCGTTAGAAGCTTGGTCGGTGCTGGAATAAACGTGAAAGAACTCTATGTTGACACAGTGGGTCCACCGGGACCGTATCAAGATAAATTCACGAAGCAGTTTCCTACAACTCAAACTACAGTCAGTGCCAAAGCCGATGATCTGTTTCCAATTGTAAGCGCTGCGAGCATTTGCGCCAAGGTATGTCGTGATTGGATAATTAGCAATTGGGAGTTTGAGACTCCCGTCTCTGAAAATGTTGAATACGGCTGTGGTTATCCGGCGGATCCGAAGACATCGCAGTGGTTGGCGAGCGAGGCTCAGCGGGACTCTCTTTTCGCCTTTCCGAATTTTGTCCGGTTCAGTTGGTCCACTGCCAGAAATGTGATTGACAAGCATTGTGTCGAGATTGAGTGGCCGGATGAGGCGGAACCGGAGAAAGTGAGTAGGAAGCGCCCAGCCAACAACACTGCCATAGACAGCTTCTTCTTCGCCTCCTCCGTGCACGAGGAAGAGCCCAAGAGACTACGACAGTACTTCGCTAACACCAGCCTCAAAACTGTCACAGAGTTGTGATAAATTATAAACCAGCTGTGGTAATAAGTGTCATTGCATTGCGCTCTTCGAAATTGTTTTTGTTCGCTTTCATTTTGGATTTTTGTGTTAAATTATAATTTTGTAATTTATGGTTCAATTTTTTAAAATGCTTTAGTGGCCAACATTTGAAATTAATTAACGTTTGAGATTTTCAGCAATTGAACGTCTGAATACTTAGTTGGAGTTCAGAAAAACTTCTAAACTAGCCACGATACTGCATGGTTTTTATTTTAAATGAGTTTTTCTCTGAAAATCTTTAGTAAATGCTCGTTGGTTGACCTGTTTACACTTGCGAGCGTAGTGTGTTAGTTTGAACCTTCTTTTATCAACCTACTTCGCAAATGAAAGTGCTCATTTGGTGGCACTTTTGCTATAGTCACAATCTGTAGCATCAGAAATTTCATAGCATCTGTTGTCTGCTTTATTTGTGGCTAGAATTTGAAGATTTTTAAGCGTCCGTGACTGGGCGGTAATAGTTTATAATTTAATTTAGTTTTCATTCTTAAAAAACGTTGAAAGAAAAAAATTGTTTCTTTTTGTGCTTCTTTCTAAATTACATAAGCAGAACTTTTTGTAATTATGTGTCCCCTGTCCAAACTACTTCGCTTATTGTTGCGCTGAATTTCCGCATTGAGTTAAGTTTTATAGGAAATTTTTCGTAGCATGCACTATATCCGCTAATTTCGTTGCGTATTCATTGCCGCGGGTGCATTCATTAATACCTGAGCGCATTTGTACTGCTTGATTTTTTTTTTCAGCCTGTCTTAGCATAGTCCGTTTCTTTTATTTCTGCACATTCTAGACTATTTTATTTGGTGAGCGACGCTCTTTTTTCAACTCAAGGCCGTTTTTTTTGCGTCTAGAACTTTCTCATGGTACCACTAATGCAGCTGAAATTAGTCAGGCTGTGGTAAACCTGAAGCTAGAGTTCAAGCGTGAGCTCGTCCTCTCGCACATTCATTGCCATGACAGGGGATCGATTGTACAAAATTTAATAGAGCAATGTAGAGCGGTTATGCGCTGGTTCAAATTTCGTGCTCACCGAAGTTTTTGTCAAAGATTATTTTCTTTTGCTTGCGTGGCGACGTGTAGCTTTGCCTGTGATTTCAAAAATGTTTTTTCGTGCCAGCTCTAAACCTGTAGTTGAGTCATTTGCCTCGATTCAATTTAGCAGCTTGTCTTTGCTACGAGCCTGCTTAGCATCGAAGAAAAACAACGCGAGCTATTAGACAAATCTGCTTATGGCCATACTTTAACAAGACTGCTCGTATACCAAGGCAAAGCCCAAAGATTTGAATGCCCCTTAACTGGCCGCTAATATAGTTTTCGTATTGTTCGCATAAATAGTTCGTTATTGAAATTATAATAAATTAAGTGAGCAGTCTCTAATCGCAGTTAGACTTAAGCAAGTACATTCTTCTGGAAATCTGAAGATTCCAGGATCAATCCGAAAGCTTTTAAAATTTTCTTTGTGTATGATAGAGCATGATAGTTGGGTCCCGAAAGTTTAGATGTGTTTTTAATGAAAAACCGGTTTGCACAGCATAAATTTAATTAAGGGGTAGGGTTTTGGGCATCTCCAAATGTTTTTCTCACCGCGTTTCACTTCAGTCATTTCGCGATTGCAAACACTGCAATTTGGTATATTCCTTCTGATAATCCGCTTTTCTCGTTAAAAAATTATCAAATTTTCATTAGAACAAGCATGTCTTACAAACGCATATTTTCAGTTTTTGGCAAGATTTGTTCTATTTTAATCAAGTTTAAACAGCTATAAGTTAGATTTTCAAGTGTAGGAAAAATTTATTTGTTTGCGCGATGCAAAACGGTAAGACCCATCTTTCATACTTGCTTTTTCACGGGACCCAACTAGCATACTTATACCCACTATTTAAAAGTAACTTGAATGCAATAATTTGAAATGTAATAGTAGTATGTGGTTGGATCGTTTTGATTTAGAGCATCTACATGATACAACGAGTCTAAAGAAAGATACCTAGCAAATACATTTCTCACTGAATTCAAAAACTGAGGCCCTTTTTGAAGACTGCGCAAAATAAATATTCGAATTTCTTTCTTCGGATCACTTTCCATTATTACACAAGTAAAGCTTGTGTGATAGTATGAACTCTCTTTTTTTCCCAACCTAAGTCGCAAATAGTGTTGCGACGCAAATATTGTTGCGACAAAATGTGTTCATTTTGAAAATGTTCATTTCGATCAATAACCAGCTATTAAGTACAGCCAATGCTAAGGACATTAAAAGAGACTATTATATTACAAATAGCACTTAAGCTTCAAGGTATCATGATTCTCTAGCGTAGAGGTAGGGAATGAGACCAGCAGCAAAATAAGAGAGTTCGAACTTGGGTAGGGTCGGATGTTTTTAATGAACTTTGCCGTATAATGTGTCCGCTTTATAAATTGAGGCATGTTAGTTGGTAAAGTTCTTTTTTTTATCCGTAATTTTTATAACTAACATTTAATAGTCTGATTTGCGATGGGACAACCTGACAACCAGTATTTACTCAAGCAAAAGATATTATAAGTCGGTAAACAATTTTCACGCTGTTTGCATACAATGTATTGTCCAAAACCAAATATTTTTGGATCGTCTAATATGCTTGTCGTCTACTTTCCTAGACGAACGTTCCAGGCGGACATCTGGAAAGCGTCTTTAAATGATTTTTTGACAGTTCAAGCTAAGTTTTACTGTTTAAAACGATCTAGAGTTTACGATAAATAAAGGATTCAGTATCGAGAAAATGAATGGCTATAAAAAGTGCTTCATCTTTCAGTTATTTATGTGCCAATCAGAAAAAGTTTGGTATGCTGTCGAAAACAGTAGGCGTGTTCGGAATCATTACGATTGGCGTAGCTGTTAAGAAATATTTAGCCCAAAATGTGAGACTTCCCTTAGCTGAACAAAGTGAAAATCGAAACGGTCCTTTTCACCGTTATTACACCATGCATCATAAGGGATTACATATCAATGAAGGACTTAAACAAGTTGGAATTACTCATCAAGCAACTCAAATAAAAGTCAATGAAAACGCCGAAATCGATTTGCCAGTGGTTCAAAACAGTTATAAAGAATTGATGACGTTAAGTGGCAAGGTAGTTTCAATCTTGGAGAAGCAGCTTCATCTTTTGAAAATAAACGAAAAATTGTATTTGGAGTTGCAGTCAAGTATCAAAGCATGGCGAAGCTTTTTAAGCACGGACGAAATAAAACCCGACGTTTCTCGGGCACCTGAAAGGTTCCAAGATTCGCTCTACAATGCGTATGACGATGATACTTTCGACCAGGAAAAAGAGCTCAGAAGTATCGCGAAGACAGAGCAACTGAAAATAATTATGTTTAATCTGGTTAATGTTTCGAATAAATTGGTGCTGTTTGTCGGACCAGATAGCCCCAGTATTACCCGGAAGCTTTTATCTGAAGTATCAGCGGTGCTTAAAATTACGAACTGTAGTACAAATTATAACGATTCATTGCTAAATGTCGTTTGCGGGAAGTTTTTATGCTCTTTGACACTCAACGAAATTGGTCGAAGTTTATTACGAAGTCAGCCTTATTTGAACAAGTTGATTACGGATTGGACAAAATCTAACTTTTCTTGTTTGAGACTGATTGGCTTAAAGTGTGTGTGGAATCTAGATAGACCCATCGAAACTATACCAGACGGCGTTTATGTTTATGAAAGCATTTCTGAAAAGAAAAGAACGTCTCTAGATATTATATGGTTCCATGGTCTTGCAGGAAGCGCCTTCTATACATGGCGCCAAGCAGGTCCAAGGAAAGACAAGTTTTTGACTTGCTGGCCAGTTGACTGGCTTGTTAACGAGATCCCTGGAAACTGTCGAATCATATTTCTAGATTACGATACTTTAAATTCTGATTCTAAGCTCGTGACCAAAACGAGTGAGTCAAAAATTGCGTCTAAAGAAAATGTAATTGAATCTTGTGCTCATGACTGTTTCGAAAAGTTAAAAAGCATAGGAATTGGTAGAGAAAATCCGGTGTTACTTATTGGACATTCGATGGGAGGTTTGATTCTCAAACAACTTCTAGTCTTCGACCACAATGAAAAAGAAACCCGTGCTTATCCCTCGCTTCTCGACAGAGTGGAAGGAATTCTATTTTTATCTACTCCCCATTTGGGATCACCTATCGCAAAGAAAATTGGATCATTGCCTTCTCGAGTCGTCAAAGCGAGTTCTGTTTTCAACGAATTAGGAGATTACTCAAAATGTATGTTGCTCAACTCGAAGTTCATGCAAATTATGTTGACAGAACCCGAAATCGATGTGATCAATGTTGCCGAGAGTCTTCCAACAGAGTTCGGGTTTGGGATTTCCTTGAATATCGTTCCCCTGATATCGGCCTACCCTGGTTTTGGGAGGTTCCGAGTGCTGAAGCTAGACCATATGCGCCTCAGCAAACCCACTGGAAAAGATGATGAGTTGTATAACCTCGTTAAAGAGTTTGTAATCAGTCACGTGCCTTTAAAAATAGAGGATTCAGATCACGAAAATCATGAATGTGTTACTTCAAATAATCTATTTAGATTTGTTAATTTAGATTACTGCTAGAGGGTTTGGTTTTTTTTCAGCCCGTTTGAGGACTATGGGCGTCCTTCAAAATAAGACAAGTGCCGATTTAGGGGTAGGGCGGCAATTCGTAACAGGCGACAATTCGTAACAGGCGAAAATTCATAACAGGCGAAAATTGGTAACAAAGCATTGGCAAGTAGAATACGCTTGCTCCGCTGCGCTTACATCCGGTACGAGAGGAATACTGCGCGTGAATCACTGTTCCCCGCTTAATCTACTGTTACGAATTGTCGCTTGTTACGAATTGTCGCTTGTTACAAAGTTTCGCCTTATACGAATTTTCGCCTCACGGATTTAGCGGCTGTCTCATATTTTGTCGTCTATTTAGTCATGCTATGTTTGTGTTGCATCGCTTTGCCTCTGTGACAAAATGTTTTTATCATCAAATGTGTGACTTTTGTGTCTTTCAGATCTGGTATGATTGGGAGAGGGCGTGGCAGAGGGAAACCGCCCCCGACTGTAAGATTCACAAACCATAAATAGTGAAGCCTTATACATGGAAATGCCCATCCAAACTACTTTTGAAAAATTTTTAAGCGGCATTTGCAGAAAAAAAGTGTTTTGTGAAAAAATAGTACCAATGGAATGGATACTGAGGACATTATATGATGAAAGTTATTAAATGTTTGGCCCGTTTCTTTTTTTGTTTTGCACCCGCTTCTAACTTGAAATAAAACATTGTGTTGTTTTGTTTTAGTCAGATCTTAACCCGGGAGCATCGGTGTTCCAACCCGCGAGTCTTTCGCCTGCTTTTGTGCCTGGCGGCGGCGGGGATGGTAAGGCGGGGCTTCCGTCCTTATCTGATCTGTCAATATCCTCCAACTGGCAACTGCAGTCGGCATTCGGCGCATACACTTCTAATTCGCAGCAAAACTCAGCTCCACAGCCGTAAGCTCATGTTGAATTTGAGAAAAAAACTTATGACAAAAATCTTGAGTGAGCTAGATTTTCAATTTCTAAAGAAACATTTTATTGCATTTTTGTAGTTTTTTTTCTCGAAACGTTTAGTTTTTACCTTCAATCTTGTAAGTTAACTGTTCGCTGCACTTTTACGAAATTAATGTGGGCTATTCAAGTGTTTTTTTTTATATTTGTTTAGGGAAACTTTCGGTAGCAATAACAATTCGTCAAACGGATTTCAACCATTTTCAAACAGCGACAACAACTCGAGTAGTTTTGATCCGAATGATGATGTTGAAAACAAGGCAGACACTTCCTTGTTAGCTAAATTAGTCTCTTCAGGACTGAAATGGGTGGATGAGAACAATGTCACAGTCACTGACCAGAGAAAAGATAAAAGCAACCCCCTTTTCGGCCAAGTTCTTTCATTCCAAGAATTAAACCTCAAGCATGAAATTGTGAAAGCACTGCAAGATATGAAGTTTGTTCGTCCCTCGGCTATTCAGAGCAAGGCTCTCCCTATTTTACTGTCTGAGCCACCAAACCACATGATTGCACAGAGCCAGTCGGGAACTGGCAAAACTGCGGCTTTTGTGCTGGCTACTTTGTCAAGAATAAATGTTGATGAAAGGTATGATTTTTTCTATTTCTCATGAATAGCCGGTTCCGTTTTTAATTGTGGTCCTTGTTCCTTCGTTAGTCAATTCATAATGTTTATTCCAGTTTATGCAATGTTTTCGGTTTCAGAATTTAAGTTTAAAAAATGTTTTTCCTGATCGTTTTTTTGTTGAAAATATCAATCGAGACAAGAGCCAATATAAGCTTTTGTAGGCTATTCTCTCATCGAAAATATACGAAGAAACTAGTTATTACTGGTTTTGCGCTCTTAGTTTTAATCGAGTTATTTCCTGGTTTGAGTCTATTGGTTTTTTTAGACACCCTCAGGCAATCCTTTTGAGTCCTACTTATGAGCTGGCGAAGCAGACAGGCGAAGTGGTGGAAACCATGGCTAAATACATGGACCAGTTCACCATGCGATACGCAGTCAAAGGAGAAAGGGTCTCCCGAGGGGATGTGGTGTCAGACCACGTGATCATTGGGACTCCAGGCACAGTGATGGATTGGGCTCTGCGCTTCAGAGTATTCGACATCACAAAAATCAAAGTTTGTAGAAAATTTAATTAAAAAAATATTGTTTGGCATTAAATTGGAGTTTGCCACAATGCCAATACAAGGCGATTTTTTTTACGAAAACGTGAAATAGTAACGCTTGAATGAATCTAAGACAAATAATCTGATTAAGAGGAAAGTTTTGATTGGTTGTAATCGGCGGCTACAGGTGTTTGTGTTGGACGAGGCTGACATCATGATAGATGCACAGGGACACCAAGACCAGTCTGTGAGGATCCACCGAGCCCTCAGCAAAGAGATCTGCCAGATGATGTTTTTCTCCGCCACTTTCTCTGAGGATGTCATGGAGTTTGCTAACAGGTACCGAACATCAATGGTGTTCTAAATCTATGGTTTTTTATATAACCAGTCAGAGACCAAAGCGAATCCCAAAGCTTAATTTTTTGAGCTTAACTAAGTTATGATTTACTTGAAAGAGCTCACCTTGCTTGGGGAGGGGGATAGATATTGCCCAATTCAATCGTTTTTATTAGGAACGGTGCATAGGCGTGCGCACAAATTTTTCTAAGGGGGGGGGGGCTTTTTTTATAGGTCGACCAATTTGATTTTCCGAGCTCTCCTAAAATAGTATAAGGACCCTCTTCTGTGAAAAAAAACTTCTGCGCCGCAGCCAATTTTTTTAAAAAACAGGCCAAAAAAAGGCGTGTTTAGACACTTTTTGGAAAATTTTGACCAAAAAATTGCGTTTTTTCGGCGCGCGCTCCACCTTTAAAATAAGGCACGCTACTGGAACTGTGTCCTTTTTGAGGTACCACACAAATAAACGAGTACCACCTGTTTGATCTGTCTATTTCAGAATTGTGAGTGACCCCGTGCTGATTATGTTGAAACGGGAGGAGCTGTCCCTTGACAGCATCAAACAGTATTACATCATAGTGAACAACGCAGAACAGAAGCTAGACTACCTCTGTGCTCTCTATCGTGGAATAAGTGTTGGAGCTGCCATCATATTCTGTCACACAAGGAAGTTCTCAGAACATGTTAGTTACCCTTGTGACTAGCGTTGTCATCGCAACCGTACCCTACTTTTTCCCCGTTAGATATTTTGCTCACATGGCATCACATCTCCTCTTGGCTTTTAGAATTCTTATATTTTTTCTAATTGAATATAGCGTTTGAAAGCATCTGCTCAAAAGACTTTTTCTTGGAAAACAGGCCTACTATTGTTTACAAAATAGAGCTAGCGATCGTAATGTCATATTACGAACTCTACTTTTATTTTACAACGCAACTCGCAAATTAAAGTGCTAATTTTTACAGATTTTTTGTTGAATAGTATTTGCAGTTCAATAGCATGTATTCTCCAATAAGTGGCTAGTGTTTGGTTTTTGTAAGCTCCAGTTTCACAGCTCTGTACGGCAGTAGTTTTTAGTACTTCGGTGTTCGAGGACGACAATTTTCACTATGGAAGAAATCAATTAAAAGTAGCATTTTGGCATGTTAGTGAGTCAAAACTTCACAATCATTTTAACATTGTTTTCTGGACTCAGCAGTTTGATTGTAATGGTATAAACTGCTGGCGTCGAAGCGCAGTCCTCAGTGGCAGTTTGAATGTTGATTTCTAACCTAATTCGCTAGTAAAAGTGTGCATTAAACGTGTTCACTTATTTGGAAATTTCACTGTAGCATTGGAAATTGCATTTTATCTGTTCTCTGCTTTGTGTGTCTGGTGTCCATTAAGCATTCGTGGCTGAGTGGTTAGTGTGTGAGACTCTTAATCTCGAGGTCGGAATTTCGAATCTCATACGTAGCCTTCTGATTACACATTATAGAGCTGCCTTTTGTCGTGTTCTCGCTAGTGTTTGCGAAGCGAAGCTTCGCCTCTGTGTTAAGCTTTTTAATGGCCCAAGTTGAAAAAAAATCCAGTAAGATTGGATTCAGATGTAGAGACACTATCCATTGCGCTTCGCTTCTCTTAAATTTTTTTTAAATTTCAGGTAGCGGCTAAGATGCGGGGTCAGGGCATGTCTGTGGCCATGTTGAATGGAGACCTGGATGTGTCCAGTCGAGTGGCAGTGCTGAACAGATTCAAAGAGGGAAGAGACACGGTCCTCATCACCACAAATGTCTGTGCCAGGGGAATTGACATTGACCGCGTATCTCTCGTCATCAACTTCGACTTACCACTCAACGACAAAAGTGAGAAAAATTAATTGGGTCTTTTCTCTTACTTCGAAAGTTGCATCATAGTACTCAAATCTGTAGGTTGAAATTAATATGGCGAAGTAAGATTTGATTTTTCATTATTTAAAACAAGCACAATTAACAAATTGGTTATTTTGGGCCATATAAAAGACAAGCCCAAAAAATTTATCTTGTGGAAAAATAGCCTAATTGACAATAAGCAAACTTTTTAGCCATGGGTATCTACTCTATCTTGTTTAGAAACTGGGCAAGTGTTTATTGTTATGGAAATTTTGGTACTTGGTTTTTTTTGGAGTTTTAAAATTATTCAAATTAAGTTTTTTTTCGACAATCATTTCAAAACCCGAATGAAGGCAAAGTTATCTTTAAGATTCGACCACTCTAGATACGAGCTTTATTACCTAAAAAATCACTTAAAAAATCGATACTACAGATCAGCACTGGTGTATAGTTTCTTCTCGCTTTTGTGTTGAGAGCAAAAACTTTATAATCGAAATACGTTTCATTTGTTGTCTAAGTTATTGCCAGTTTTGACCACCGCACCGCAAAAAACAGTATCATTTGCTTTTTTGTTCATTTAATTGCTACAATGGATTTTGAATGAAACCATCAAAAACTATCTAGGATTTTCTCGAGGGGCGGAGGTTCATAAATTATTTAAAAGTTTTGACGATTTGGATTTTCCTGGTCGACCAGCTCTCTCAAAAGACTGAAAATGCCCTATTGTGCCCACAAATTTTGCCTTACTTATATTTACGCTTGCGATTAGCAAGCGTGATCAAATCAAATCAAAATCAAAATATTGATTCGGGTTAACAACTTGCTTAACACTATCACTTGTATCATGGTTCATAATGAATTCAAACTTCTAAGCGTGTCCGGCACTTAGACCGGAGCTGAAGAATACGCCTGGGACGGCCAAGGTCGTGGGTTCAAACTGACCAGGAACTGTTTCTTTTTTCGCTGAAAAGATTCCTTTCCAAAAAAATTTCGGCCTATAGTTTGTCTGCTTATGTTTTGTCGGTCTAATTGCCTTATCGTAGAATTGATGATTTTTTTTGTGTGCGTTTTTCAATGTAGTCGCTTTTAGTATTTCAAATAGCTCCTGCTAGCCTAGACTCCTTATATTTTACTAGCCTATACTTCGTATATTTTGCCTTTTTTAGTTTTTTTTTGCTGAAAAACTATATTCGGCTTGAATGATTTCGGCCTTATTTTTTATCGGCTTAGTGACCTAATTTGGTGTCATTTTAAGGGAAGCATAACTTTATGGGAAGCATGCTTCATTCTGGATCGCACAAAATGCTAAAATTGCTCAAAGTTTTTCATGACAACAATTATAGTTTCGATTCTGCGTGAAATTATTTAAGGTAAAGTTTCGTCAGCTCAGTTGCCGCTTGTTAATTATTTTTGTTAATTTTCAATAATTAACATCGATTGTGTTTGTGGACGTATTTTCTGCAAAGAGAACATTTTGAGTTTTGTTAAGTTGTGGTTTTAAAATTTTTTTTTTGGATTTAGTGGCTTTCTTTCCTGTCCGCTAGCCTGCACTATTTACACTTGCGAAGCGAGTGTATTAGTACGAACCTTCTTTTTTCCAACCTAAATTGCAAATAAAAGTGCTTCTTTTGGTATAAATTTGAACAATAGGCTGCTGTAGCAGTATAATGTCATATTTGCTTTGATATTTGGTTAGTAAAAAGTTAACTCAGTTGATGCATTTTTAATTCATCAAATGAACTGAAAAAAGTTAATTGTTTCAAACAGCAGTACAATGATAAAAAGCTTGATTTCAGAAATTTTCCAAATCAATGTATCTAGCAATTATTTTTGAAATGCATAATTTGCACAAAATTTGGCTTTATCCTTTCCAATTTATTACATGCAAAATTGTGTCTTTTTGCATTTGGTGTCCCTTTTGCGGCATCGAATTGGCAATCTATTAGCATATGTAGCTTTGTTATTAGAGGCTAATTTTGGGGGAATTTAAACATCCGTGGCTGAGTGGCTAGTGCGTGAGACAAAGTTGCAAGGTCGCAGATTCGATTCCTACACGTAGCCTAGTTTTTACTAGTTCGGGGCTTATTTCACTTGATAAAGCTGCTTTTTGGTCGTGTTGTAGCAAGTTTTTGCGAAGACAATTAAGCATCCGTGGCTTAGTGTGTGAGACTCATAATCTCTAGGCTGCAAGCTCGAATCCGAGACGTAGCCAAATTTTTACTAATTTGAGGCTTATTTCTTATTTTTCTTATTGCACTCTTTAGAGCTGCTTTTTGTCGCGTTCTCGCTAGTGTTTGCGAAGCGAAACTTCGCCTCTGTGTTTAATGTTGTATCGCAAGTGGTGCGAAGCTCCGCTTCGTCTGTGTTTTTTCTTAAATAGTTAAAAAATTAAAAATTTAAATTTATAATTTTTTTTCAGAACAACCAGACATGGAGACTTATCTGCACAGAATAGGACGTACTGGGAGATTTGGAAGGAAGGGAATGGCCATTAACATGGTGGAGCCGAGACACCTGCAACACATTGAAGCCATCGCACAGCACTTTGGCAAACCCATCAGACGATTGTGCGAAGAAGATATTGAGTCTCTAAACTGAAACTGTTTTAACGGCAACTGACATTTTTGTAAGAATCTGATGTAGTTTGATTTATTATTCAATGATTGATAAAATGTTAAAGATATTTTGTTCGGTTACAGAAACGGCTGGAATTGCTGACTTGAAACAAACAAAAAATCAGCAAACTGAAATGATTTAAATATTTTTCTCGCTGTTTTGAAACTGTTGATTTAAACTTTATTGTGGATGTTATTCCTTCCATTTCGAAATTTAGTTTATAAAGTACGTTTTACAATCAAATGAAGAAATCTCTTTATTAATTAATATCGAAATTCTTTCAAAAAGATGAATCAGAAAACGGTGTACATTCGCCAATTGTTTCGAGTTTTTGTGGAACTTTTTGAAAAGCTTGAAAAGCAAGTTGATTGTCAATATTTTTAAGAATTGTGTTTGGAAGTTGCTTAATCTGTCAGCCATCCTTATCTGATGAGCACTATAGGTTTTGTTTTTTACTTTGCGATTAGCAAATAGTTTAAAAGCGTCGAAATTTCTTAGATTTTTGGAAACTATGGAATTGCTTCTCGTAGTACAGCTTACATGCAAGAGCAGCTGGATTTTACAGGTCTATCAACTCAAAACATTTGTTGTCCAATACTTAAAGATTTTTTTTCCTTTTAATAGTCATAAACGTAGTGAATACTCTTATATATATCTTGGCGATTTTTTGTTTAAGAATAATGAACGTAGTGAGTACTCTTCTATAAGTCTTGGTGATAGTTTGTGTTTTTTTCAGGAAAAAGTTAAAATTTGTTCACTCTCAATTTTGATTTTTCTGGTTTGGCTCGATTTCTTTTTCAGTTAATTTCATTTCTTTTGTCAAAATGAAGACAAAATCCACTATCGAACTGCAAAAATGTACAGGTAACAAAAAACGTGATCGACTCCTTATTTCGAATATGGAAATTAATTATCTGAGTTCCCTGCAAAATAAAATAGTTTTACTTATTGATCCAGAATTGGGCTAACTTGATCAAAAGTATGTCAATCATAAATTGTTCTACAAAATAAAGAGCTTTAATTCCATCTATTTTTTAATCGAAATTCAAAAGTTGAAGGTTTTTCAAAAGACAAGTCAGTTTTTATTAAGTTTCTTTGTGTTCATTGCTCTCCAACTGACAGTTTTCTTTCAGGAAGAAGTCCTAAAATTTGGCGACAGTTGGAAATTGTAAGCAAAGTAAGAAGAGAAATTTTATACTGTTTTCTCAGTTTGGTTGTAAGCAAAGTAAGAAAAGAAATTTTACCCAGTTTTCTCAATTTGGTTTGATTTGACCAAAAAATGATAATGATATTTGATTCGAAATTGATTACACTTGCATTTAGAAGGGTTGTTGCAAGCAGGTACTAGACTTTTTTCTTGTTAATAACTTTGTTCGAAGAAATTACAAGTGAATGCTTGCTTTATTATCAAGTCAAATTATTTTTTTTAACTGAAAAGTTTTGGCTATTACAAACTATCGTCTGTATGCTTACTTTTGTCAGCTTAGTACCCACAGAAATGACTCTTTTGAATGTTCAGCTTCTTCCTAGCATGTCAAATGCTTTCTTTACACTTTCATTTGGTGCAGGTTTTTTTTCGAAAAAAAAGCAATTTCCATAATTTTTCCTAACAAAAACGATTATTTGAAGGTTTTTTCAAATGTTACTTTGTCTTATCATTTGCTTTTAGTCATAATCATTCTTTCGCTGTATGGTTTTTAAAAGCTTTTCTTCGATTTTTTTGGAAAATATTTTTTGCTTGGCTTAAAATGTTACGCGTGTTACAATACCATTTTCAATTTATTAATTCAAATTCATTGGATTTTTTTTTTCAAATTTCAATTATATGAAATAAAAGTTGTTCTAAGATATACAATTAGTCACTACAATCGAAGGAAAGTGATTCATGCGTGCGCTTTGAGTAAAAAAAATTGCATACTGCTTAACCTGGAATAGCTTCTGTAGGTACACTAAGATTTTCCCCCCGATATTTGAAAAAGGGGAGGATCATCGCCATGCAAAATGAAATGCCACAAGTAATCATCGGGAATGGATCTAGCGAAATATCATATCAGAGCTCTTTCAATTGCGACTCGAACGACATAAAATTGTCAAGATTGAAACTAGTTTTCTGTGAATGAAATCAATTATTGTTTCCTTCATTTAAAAACAGTTTGAATTCATTCTTCAAAAGTTGATTTTTTCATAAAACTACTCAGTTTTTTTGTTTTTTTTTCGTTCATTGAATTTTTTCAATTTTATGATTAAAAAATTTATTTTGAAGTGATTTCTAAAGCTATTCAAAATAGTAGTGCATTTTTCTCTGAAATTTGACAGCAGGACTGCGTATCACAAAGTTTACTCTCAAGTAGGATGTTACTCACAAGTTGCTCAAAAGACCAGCAGTCTCGTTTTAAGGTGTCTTAACAGCATTTTCCTGCAGATAATTTTTGCAAAGATTGTCATCAGGAAAGTCTAACACGGTTCGCATGGTCGCAATTTTCACGCTTGCTGTAACACATTTATCGATTTACCATGTCAAATTGTCTGTTTTTTCCCAAATTTCCTTTCTTTGAAATAAAAAAGGTTTAGCAGTCAGTATCCAAGTGATGTAAGATATTCCTTCGTGTGTATTGCCTAAAACATCCACAAAATGCTCGCTGAAAATTTTTTGTAGGTTTCTTTGCATTTCTTGTTTCTTCGTTGTCATTTTTCCTCCGTTTCATGTTTATTTCGAGAATTACGTGCAATAAAAAAAGGAATAATTAATGTATGTTTAATTAAATTACATAATATGAATTTTTCTCACTGAGATATAAAACTTTATTATCAAGCCGTTTTTAAACCTGTTCATTTATTGGAAATAAAAATTAGCTGCTTTATTTAAACAGCATTATCTGGTTCTGCATGACATAGTGCTTTCATTGCTCATTAATTTCCATAGGAATGGGTATATTTGTCAAGCAGCTTTAGCGCAACGGAAAAATTGAGTCCCTATGAATCAGAAGCTTGGCTTCTTCTAATCCCCGCACTGCTTTCGTTCCCAAATAGGGGTTAACTTAATGGTTTTTTTGTTTTATCTGGCTTCAAATCTCATTTATGCAGTTTTTTAATTGCATAAGCTGCAAATTGCATATTGCATTTATGCGATCTGATCTGGATGTTAAAAATTCTTTTACGTAAAAAGCGTCCAAACTTGCAAACTCAAATTAGTTTCCTTCTAAGCCAAAGATCTAGTTTATCAAATATAATAATAACTACAGCATATACCATTGAAAACAACTGACCTCGTAGTTGTTAATTAGGGCAAAGTTGATACGCTATTTCAATTCAATGCCGACAGCTAAAAATAACGGATATTGTTAAAAATTTCCTCCCCTATTGTACCTAGTTTCGAATTGTCACCCCTATACAAAGAACTAATTCAACGGTTAAGCATTTGTGAAATTTAAGACTATTAAAAGATACGCCCTTTTTCAAAGAGGGTTAAAGGGAGGTAGTTAGAGACCCCAACGACTGGTATTTTTTTGAACAGCTGATTCACTTGATTGCACTGCATTATTAACAAAATCGATGGCTTAGTTTTACGATTCGATCTATTTAGATAAACCTAGGCTAAAAAAAATATATATATATAACAACAGCAACGTTCATCTGATCAAATTTAGTTGTTTTTAATTGAAATGATGAATGCAATTGAGATTTCCGCGCTGACATGATTTAATCATAAACATAAACTGTTTCCAAAACATATATCTAACACTTCTTCACTTTTTCTTCCTTTAACAAAAAGCGGATCGTTTTGGTAGATTTTGGTTGCCAGTTGTGTCGATTGGTGATCTACCAAAACTATCTGATTTTTGTTAAAGGAAGAAAAAAGTGATGAAATGTTAGACATATGTTTTGGAAACAGTTTATGATTATGATAAAATCATGTCAGCTCGGAAATCTCAATTGCATTCATCATTTCAATTAAAAACAACAAAAACTGATCAGATGGACGTTGCTGCTGTTTTTAATTTTTGTGAGTTCATGAGTCTAGCGTTTTAGTTTTTCAAGTTTCTTAAATTTTCAATTTTCAAATTTTATCATTTTTTTCCAATTTTTATACACAATTTTATTTTTCTACCCCAAAATTTTTGATAGTACACACACACCAGAATATTTTTTATCCTTTCTCTAGATGTAATTATGTTGACTTGGTTAACATAGATACAAATATGGAAAAGTTATTTTAAGATTTGGTTATTATTTCTTAATTTATAACATTATTTTATTTTAAATCTACCTAAAATTGAGGCATAGCATGAAGTCGGTTTAAAAATTGACTAAAAGTTTCATTATTACATAAAATGCGATTCACTGCGGTTGATGTTGTCAAGCTCAGTATGACTGTTTTTTGTAAAATTTTAAAATCTAAAATCTAAGCTATAGGAGGGCACACAATTGAAAAGACTTTAACAAAGCCCAAAGTAAACATTTTGAATACTTTTTCATATTTTTCCTTATTTTCCGAAATTTCTTGTCGAAAATACTCATCAAGAGCTTTTTGAGCTGTATTTTTTTTCCCGACAAGTGGTTTAAAAAAAAGATTTCTGCCGGTGGGTTTCGTCAAAATAACTTAAGAAGAAATCAATTACACTGGTAGAAATCTTCGACTAAAGACAATTTCTGACGGACTTCTGAAAAATTTTAGGCGTTCTGAAAAAACTTGGCATAACGGACATTACCATTACCAGTGTGATACTTATATGCAACAAAATACTCAGTCCCATAGATAAAAAAACTGAACGTGAAACGTAAATTAGAAAAGAAAATAAAAAATTAAAACCTGAACTGCCTAAATTTAGTCATTGCAATATCACAAAAAATTAGTGGTTTTTTTACCACGATCTAAAATAGGGTCGTAGCGTAAAGTTTGACTAGATCCAGCCAGATTTAACATTGTTGGGACCAAACACTGGCCACTGCACAGTATCGTACGAAACTTTTCATTCTGCTCAATATAAATTGCCTCATGATACGTTCTAAGAATTGCACAATAATTTAAATATTTTTTTCGTGCGTATTTTTTTCGTGTCTCAGTTATGATTGCATAGCATAAAATTTGTCGACTTTATAACCTGTTTTTTTTATGATCTGTCTACTTTTTGCTAAGTAACCCATCATTACTCAAGCAGTAATATCCCACGAATGTACTTAAACAGCCGATGAGGAATTTCAATGTATAATTTTGAACCAACATCTTTACTGAAACAGAAAAGTGAAATTTTAAAAAATGTATAACGTTTCTGAGAAATCCAACAAGCATATCAATACATTGACAGTAACCTCGGGGTAATCTGTAAAAGGTTTGGGTTACATGTAAATTGTCTGGAACTTTGGGGCAAATTGTGTACATGTAGTTGAATGAAATCTGTATGCGTGAAATTTAGAACCGGCGAGCTAATTTCTGTGTTCTCTTTTCAGTTCATACTTTGCGTCACAACGTGCAATTGATGAATTTCAGCGTTACTAAGAACCGTTTTTTTTAGCATAACAGTTTTTTTGGCAGAAAAGACAAAAGTATGATCTATTATAGGGTGCGTATTCCTAGGTCCTGAAATGAAAAATCATTCCCAAGGGTCCCAGAATAAAAAACCAGTCGCATAACTCCAAAAACAGTCGCAAAGCTTCACGGCGATAACCGGCTCTAAAGTGCGTTTTTAGTCCTAGGATCTATTTAACAATCCCCCCTTCAAGAAAGGGGGGAGATTGTTGAGTAGATTACTTGCAGCGAATTTTCGACCAATCACGATGCAGCAAAATTCGAATTTCAAATGCAACGCTCTAGTGCTAATTTACTGCTTTTATTTATAGGGGTGGCAATTCTTTAGTAGATACCCAAAGGAAGGACGATTTTTAAGTCGATCCAAAAATCGGTCTGCTAAAAAACCGTTCTGTCAAAAGCTTAGCACCAATGTTACTGAAGCAGTAAATTTGAGACTATCCATATGGTTTACTTTTCTCAGAAATACTGCTACGCAACCATCGACTCTGTAGGTATAACTGTAGGATTTCTGAGAAAAGTAAAGTGGTTACGTAGCAGTGTTTAGACAACCGCGTATTCATACTCGTCAGTAAGCAGACAAATACTCTATTAACCAATCATAATCGAGGCTAGGAAGAAAAGAATAATTAATAATTATTTACTTCGTAAGTTTGGTTTCTCATCTCGATTCTGATTGGTTAATATAGTATTTGTCTGCTTACTGACAAGTATGAATACGCGGTTGTCTAAATACAGACCGCACTCCACAGTCGATATAATTGAAAGTTTAATTTTAACCACACAGCGTTATATAATGATATGTCTGGGATATACTCGCGCATATTATTCCAATTGCTAAAGATTCTTTTTGTTCCGACTTTCGATACGAAAGTAACGGAATATTTGTGCTCGGGGTGCGTTTTTTTTCTTCAGACAAATTTCGACTTTTTAAGTAGCCATTTTTGACAGAATTTTTTTATATCATTCGAAAAGTATTGTTGTCCTGAGCTAAAAATTGAAAAGATATTTCACCTGTGACCATTTTTCGTAAAGTTACGGGGGTTTAAAGATTGCCATTTTGGCCAATTTGGGACAATTAACGCGCGATATATTTCGCGCTATTAATGCGTAAGCGGATATTTAATCCGTCTTAGAAATCGTTCCAAATTGGTTAAACGAAGCTTATTTACCATAAATGGTTTGTTGTAAGGAGCGAAATCTATCCTTTTGTACTTTATATGGCATGTGGGGGGATGATTTTCATAAAAAGTTTTAAATTTTAGAAGAAAAAAAATTTTCATTTTATTTCATTTCATTGAATTTTTTAAATGTTATTACTGCTCCATTAACCCTAAAAGGCAGTCGGAACATTCAGACAATTACCTCACGACTTGTCAACAAAACTATCAATTTCAAAAACAAAACAGTCTAAACTAGTGGCAAAACAAAGATTTACGCGCACAATAACACTCGTGTTGAATTGAAGCGCAGCGGAGCAAGCGGTTGCTAATCGCCAATGCCGCGTTTGAAGTTAGCTATCACACTTTATAATTGTTCTGAGTCTGCTAAAAAATCGGTCTGCTAAAAAACCGGTCTGCTAAAATCCCTAGGCCCATTTTGACGGTTATCTGAAAAGTGCTTACATGTATTTGTCTATATTGTCTCCCAGAAAGCATTAATCTTATGTGAAGATAAACAAACCATGTTGCTTGATCGAAGGGGCTTTCAACAGTGTCAAAATCCAACAATACCGAAACTGAAATTGAGTTCAGCAGTGCATAAAATTGATGATAATTGAAAATTTTGAATTCCTTTTGTAAATTTTTGGCAATTTTGCGTTAAAACTGTTTTGGTTTGGAGCAAAATTGAGAAAAAATTTTAAACAATTGCTGAGTTAATTATTTGTACAGCAAAATTATGACGGTGCACTTTTCTTTAAGTTAATTGCGACATCAATTAAACTGGACAGTTTCTGTTTTCGCCTTCAGCTAACTTTGAGTTCCATTATTTGCCACTAATTTGGGCTAAGTAAAAACAGTTTTCAAATTCAATTTCGGCACAAGCTTCTGCCGAACAAAAATTTTTGGTGTAAATATACCAGCCGAAGTATAAACCAACAAAAAAAGCGCAGGAGATGTAACCTAGCTGAAACATTACGTCATCTGGTTAAAATTTGCAGGACTTACGTGTCTCTTACACTATTGATACATAAGTATTATATAACAATTACGAATTTTCGGCTGGTTTGTATAGTAGCTGGTTTACACTTCGGGTGGCTTACACACCACAAAAACTTTCGGCACTGTTGTACTTTGGCACTGTTGTACTTTGGCACCATTGTACTGCCTCCCTTGCAGATAGCAAATAATCATCTGATTTCAGGGTGGACTTTATAAGATACTAATTCGATCATTGTTTATTTGGACGAATTTTATTTGTCAATTGTCTGCTCCTCATAGCACCATCAAATAACAGGTATGAATTTTAACATTTATTTAATTAGTTCAGTCCAGTTTCTGGTAAGCTCATTTAAATACCGATACTCAAAGTTCGCAAGTTCTACGTTTTTTAAAATCCCCTGCTTGAAGTTTTTTTGCAGGCGATTTCACGGCGTCACAAATCAAATACTTTTATTAAAACACTTATCATTCATGAAAAGTTTCCTTTTCTACAATTTCGTAGTAAAAACTGTTCATTCGTAGTGAAACCTGTATGAAATCTCTATGATAAGCTGTTTTTGTTCATGAAAATTGTTTGATAAGCATTTTTTTTCATGAAAATGTAATTACTAGCATTTTTCCATTAATAAAAATTTAACAACAATTTATTTTTAGTTCAAAACTTTGCAATTATTCGTGTTAAAAACATCCACAGGTTAAGTGAAAACAATCGCTTGATTGTCAATTCAAAACAATATTCGAATTATTTCTTATGGGTTATTAATTTTGTGTCAATAAGAAAATCTCTAGAAAAGAGACCTCTTGAACACTTTGATCCATCTGAACACAAAGTTTCATAGAGATCCTTTCATATTAGAGGAAAGGTTCCCGCGGTTGATGAAAAATAAATCTTCCGAATCAATCATAAAACTAAATCAATTTTGCTTCTTGTCGATTCTTATTAGTTAATACGCTAGATGTCCACTTTATGAAGTGTCTATTTTATGACTTGTCTATTTTTTGCTATGTAACCCTTTAATATATTAACGGGCCATCAAAAGTGCACTTATAGTAGAGTTTGTTGTCGGCAAGGCAACTATTGTACCCACGTAAGGAATCCCTCATGTGCAAAAGACAGAATGCGCGAAACATTGTCAACCAATCAGAGCTCAGTATTCAAAAAATTCAAAAGGAAAAAGCGCTAAAACTCATGAATTTTGAACAGTTTGAACAGTTTAAGCATTCGGTCCTTCACGTATGAGAGTTGCCTTTGTACCCATTCAGTTTCAAATACGTTCCAGAAAAATTTAATCAAACACTTGCTCTTTTGCATTTGTTGCTTCCGATGTAAAAACTTGAGGGGAGCAGAAGGATATTTGTGTTTGAGTTTTTCAGCTTCCAAAACTGTAAAACAGATACAAACAGCAAAATAAACTGGTATGTATGTATTTTTTAATGTCCAGTTAATTAGATCATCAAGTTTGCCAATCATATACAAGACAGTCACAAAAAAATCTACAAAAAGTCTCAAGATAAATTTAAATACACTTTTTGGGGTAGCGACAAATTTTTCAACTTAAAAACAATTTGGATCATTCAAAAAGCAAGCTCAGATTGTGGTAAAAATATAATATCCGGAATATGTGGGTTCAATATAACACCACTTGACCATCAAACAAACTGTTTGTTGTGATCAATTCGTAAAGGGAAATGAAGGAACTATGGCGTACGGTGTTTTTTTCCGATGCTTCTTAACTCAAGGAAAATTAAAAGTTTGTTATGATATCATAATTAAGGTACCGTTTTGAAGACCTGTCATCCACAATTTAAATAACAGTCAGAACTCCATTTTGATGATCATCAAATGACCTGATTTGTAGAGCTTACGTAGTTTTACTAATACTTATAACTCAATCTGATTGTGCGACCTAATTTAGTCGCATTTCAACAAGAAAAGTCACCAATAATTTAAAAAGAAACAATTTTTCTTTCAATTTTTGATTTATTCTCTCCTAATGTCGTTTTAGAACCCGATTAGTAATTATACGGGTTTCAAAAATGTAAAATTTATATTCAGTTTGAGAAAATTTTTCAATTTATCAGACTTCTTTGCTAGGAAGGTTAAAATAGCCGCTACTGGTTGTTAATTAATATTTCATTTTTCGTTCTAAATTTTGATCATTTCTTTTAAAATTTAAAGCTTTTAAGCCTAGCTCATTGCCCCTAATTTGCCTAAAAAAACTGATCGAAAACTTACTTTTTCAAATGATAAAAAAATTTTTGTTTTTAAAATATTGTTCATTTTTTTTCAAATTCATTTTTTTTCAGCAAAAGCTTCTTTACTACTTTTCACATTCAGTTTTTGACCCATTATTATTTGTTTTAGTGGTGAAATGCACAAAAATCTCAAGATCTTCCATTTGAATTCCAATATTAATTTTTTTTCGATATTCCCGAAATTATTTTTTTTCTAGAAAGTTTTATTTCCAAAGCACGTATTCTTTTTCATGAAACTTCTCTTAACTTTAATTGAATTGCAAGTCTTCGAGTTCTCACAATTCAAAATTTTTCATGACTTTTTGCCTGCACGGCTGTCTGCACAATTATTGTGGGATAACTAGCCGATCGTAAATAGTAATGACAGTAAATTAATTAATGCTTTTGATCGCATTTTTGGCTGTGTTTTTTTTTCTGAAAATGAACATCAGTCAAGAAGAACTTTTTAGATGTTATTTTCTAGTTTTTGTAATTCGATTTATTTTTTTTAAATTTCCGGTGCATGTTTTGTTACGCTTGACTTTTCTCGCATGTGTTGCAAGGCTCAGCTTTGCCACTGCTGTTAAATAGTTTTAAGTGGATCGACATATATCGAGTTAACAGCGCCGAAAAAAAATTCGTTCAACAGTGCCGAAAATGAAAACTTTGTTCAACAGTGCCAAAAAGTTGAACAGATTAAGTGCGGCAATCCAAAATTAAACGATAATCGCTTACAATCTTAGGTGACAATTTAAGATTTTGAGCGATAAAATTTGCAAAAATGATTGTTTAATTTGCAATTGCAGACATGTCTCGCTCTTTAGAAAATGCAGTTCAATTATTCTGAAATTGTTCCATCTTTTTCGGCACTGTTGTACTTCGGCACTGTTAAGCGCCCCCGTTTTGTGATTCGTATTTGCCAAAGTTGTCTTTCTTTCCGTTCTTTTATTACTCGCACTTAAGTTCAAATCAAGACAGGACGACTGGAGGAACCAAAACTTGATTGCTTACCTATGATTATTGTTTTTTTTTCTATATAAAAACTCAAAATTGACAATTTTCATTTCAAGTTAGACAAGAAAGCTGGCAGTTTGCTACCAAATTAAAGAGTTTTGCTTACGTTGTTTTTGCATTCTGCTACTTTCAATAAAATATTGAAGAAAAAATTTAGACTTTCTTGACGTTCTGTGAAAAAATTGACACTTGCAATTACATTTTGTTTTTCAAAACAGTTGAAAATCCTGCTCGTTCGAGACTGTTTATAACGTGGATGAACAGTTAGGAATTAGTTTTTCTAGACAAAAATTTGATAAAAATTTTCTAAGTAAACTTGCTTATAAAAAGAACATGACTGCGCGTATATCAGGACAGAGCCCTGAATCTCTCGACTGGCCTTGCAAAATGTCTCAAGTAGTTTTGGCAATCAGTTACAAGTTTTGAGCTGTTTGATTTTGTAATACCAAAAGTTTTGTTGCTTAAATTATTGTACCAATTAAACTGGTGGTAAAGTTTGAGTCGTATACAGAAACAATATGACAGTCTAGTTTGTCTCATATTAATTTGGAACCAATTTGATCGCCAGAGAAATCTCCAAGCATTTTTAGTGTTACGTCTTTAGCTTCTTATGAGAGTTTTTTAAAGCGTGCTTAGATCAACCCAAAAAACTACTTTTTAGACAATTCAACAGCTCAAAACTTTACCAAAAAACAATGCCAATGAATCTTTTTTTCATTTGAACTTGGGGATTTGATATCTTCAGATACATTAAAACAACCAAGTTAGAATTTTTCCTTGATCTTTCCATTTTGGTTCATAACGAAACTTCCTTTTGTTTTCACTGTAGTTTACTGTTTTTCTCAGCTAATGCCACCGTGCTCTTACAATTGCTTGTTTTCAATACTGCGCTCCTATTGAGCTTACACCATTATTTATTGCCCTCTCCTAAAAGAAAACAAAGTGAGAAAAAGATGAGGAAAAATTGAAGAGAAACAACAAGAAATAATAAAGGAACATTAATAAAATTGAACAGAGTTTAGATATTTTTGGTCATCAAAATTTTACCCTACTTAGGTTGAAAAAAAACTGAGTGTGTTTATTTACCCTCGATTTTTGCACTGGCGTTTTACAACGTTTTCAATCTTTCAAAATTGCGCTGATGTTGGATTTTATTAATGCAAATATATCTAAGCAAAACAGCATCAATGCTTCAATATGTGAAAAAAGTTTCAACGTGTGACAATAGTTAATGATAGGTTAACACCAATAATTAAAAAATCCTAAAAGTTGAAGTAAATTGTTTTCGTGACACAACTTTGTTTTCTTAATGCGAAAAAAGTGCAAAAAATTTGGTTCATGAAGTTTGGTTTCGAAAATTATCATTGAAACAATCTCAAATTTCAAAAATTTTAGTGACTATTTGAGATTAAAACTAATGAGATTGTTAGCGCTAAAGAACCCTATTATGACTCTTCAGCTAATGTGGTTGTTCATCAAAACCATGAAATAAAAATTGTTTTTTTTAAAGACTGAGCTAACGCATTTTGTTATTAAATTGAAAAATTATTTCTTCTGCCGGCAACATTGAAAATGTCATTTGAAAAGGTTGATTATTTGAAAATAGTTTAAGAACTAAAGCAATTAGGGACTAACTGCTTAGTTAGGTGAAATTAGAAATAAAAAACTGGATCGTTTTGTTAGATTTGATTGAATCCACCAATTTCCAGGATAAGTTTTGTAGGCTTTTTTGATTCTTCCTACAATTTTTGTTTTCGTAACTTCCCAATAAAATTTGCAAAAAAAAAACAATTTTGGTATAAAAAATTACTTAGTTTTCAGGAAACTTTTTCGAAAATAATTGTTCTTGTTACTTATAAAAATAATTCGGTAAACGCTTCTCCTCAAGTGACTGCAGATCACTGTAACAATGACGGAGACTTTTCTTGGGCAGAAATATTTTTCTCAACTTAACCTAAAAATTGTATAAGACTACAAAATTGATGTTTTACAACCCCAAAAATTATTTTCTGTGATATTTCAATAGATTTTACCAATTTTTGTTAA